GGGGGGGGGGGGGGGGGGGGTCCTTCGAGATCCTCTAGGGCCCAGAATCTAATCATCTAATCCACTCGCCTCTTAGAAGAGATGAGGCCTAGAGAAGGAAAGAGTCTTGCCCAAAGACACACAGCGCTTTGACTCTATGACTTAACAGACAGGCCTCTTCACCGGACTTATATCCCATGGAGACGGAACTGGAGGCTTGCAGGGGCTTCCTACTTGCCGGCGACCAGAGCCCCAGCCTTCACCAGCAGGAACGGCGATGAGGCCCAGGGAGCCAAGGAACCATCTAAGTAAGCTCCAGGCCTGGAAAGTTGGCTGTCGGAGGGAGGCCCCACGATTCTTTTGCTCCCGTTCCAATCCTGTTTAGGCTACTGCTAATCATGTTTAGTGCCTGTGCTGGCTCAGGGCTTTGTTCTTCCAGACTTCTGTTTTCACCACTTGCCTCGTGGGCCTTGGCTCTGCGAACCCGGGCTCCAGAGTGTCGGGATGAGCCCGGCGCAGAGGCCGGGGAGGCCAGAAGGCCGCCAGAGCAGGAGCCCAGGGAAGGAAGCCTTGGAAACACAGTCTGGCTCCATGACCCTCCAAGAAGGGAACCCAGGTGTTCCTACGCCCTGTGGAAGGCCCTCTGCCAGCACACCCAATGTGGCCACTCCTGGACTCCTGGACAACGAGGCTGCCAGAACCTGCCGCCTGCTTGGATGGCTTTTCTTCCATCTGTGCTACCTGGAAACACACAGTCCCTTGGAAAACCAACTTGAACAGTCACCAAGGGCTCAGAACTGAGACCCTAGGCACAGAAACACACAAGGAAGGTGGTCCTGTGGATGCTGGACTCGGCTGTTCTTCCACGGGGTAAAGCTGGGAAGGGGCTGGCTGGAAACCGCAGAGCAGCAAAGGGGCTGGGCCCATCCCACCTGCCTCCATGGACTGGCCAGACCCTTTGTGCCCAGACGGCCACACCCAGGCTCTCTTCACACCTTCCACCTCCTCCATGGGAACACAGACAGGTCATCGTCTGGACAGGATGCAGCCCAGAACTTTCCCATTGACTCACACACCCATTCAAGATGAGGAGAATAATACAAATACCAGCTGCTGTTTACTGAGCACTTACTACATGCCAGGCACTGCTCTGAGCCCTTTACAAGCATGGGCCCATGAATACTCACAAAATCTGGCTGGCTGGGAATGAGGATGCCCATTGTGTGAGTGAGAAAAACAAGAAACAGAGAGGGGCTTGCCCAAGCTCACAGGGTAAGGTCAAGATTTGAACTCAAGCCTCAGGCTCACACTCCTTCTGCCCTGCCACCTACCTCCCAGTGACCTGAGTTCATGGGTGTCTTTCGAGATCCTCTAGGGCCCAGATTCTAGTCCCCTCTCCTCCTGGAAGAGATTGGCAACTGAGGCCCAGAGAGGGTCACCACCAACTGATACGGCACTCCCTGTGCCAAGCCCAGAGTGGGGGAATCAAGAGGGTACCTGGGCACAGAGATGAGGGGGGAGGATGCCAATAAGGCTGTGCTCAGAAGGGACAGAGAGATGGGTTCTGTTGTGAGGAGACACCCCCTCCAGGACACGGCTGGGGAAACTGTTGGCTGCTGGAGGGACACAGGCCGTGTGGGAGCACAGGGAGGGAAGGTGCTCTGAGCGCGAGAAGCGGAGGGATGGCAGACAAGCCAGGGACGTCTGCAGACAGGACACGGAGCCTGGCCTGCGAGAGGAGCCCAGGAGCAAAGCTGGAAGGCATGCTGGAGCCACAGGGCACAGGATGAGGGTAACACCGTGGCAAGGGAAGCTGGGCAGGGCAGAGGCAGGACCTCTGAGCAGTGAGACCTTTGGACTGCTCACTTGCCCAAAGCTTGGGCCCCACTGTGGGGTGCTTGCTGGCATCGCTTTTCTGCCCAACCGCTGGCATCTGTCCTGGCACGGGGTCTTTTGGAGAAAATGAGTCAGCAGTGTGCTCACTGGTGTCCCTGTGTGGCCCCCCGCCCTTGGGGTGGGGGGCGGGGCAATCTCATCCAGCCAGCTTTTTCCAGGACATGGGGAAGAGAGGGAGGGTATCATCCCCCGACTCCAGCTCAGACAGGGAAGGGCCCAGCTACCGCCTGCCCGGCCCCTTTGGAGTGTCCTGGGGTCGGGACGAAGAGAGAAGAAGGGGCCTGTGCCTCCGTGGGATGCAGGCCCCAGGAGAGCTCCCCTGCTGGCTCCACACACCCCCACCGGCACGCCCAGCTCTGCTCAAGCTCCCTCTGCACTCCCGTCCACAAGCGGGAATCCCAGCCTCTGGGCCACAGCTCTGCCCTCCTCCTGGGAGAACCCCTGCTCCCCTCTGGCTCCCGTTGCTCCAATGTTCAACTTGGAGATCTCCCAAGGCCCTCTCTGCCTGACATGCTGGCTCTCACTTCTTCCCCTTACACACGTGAAAGGGACGGGGCCGAGAGCTTCCCAGAGGAGCCAGAAGCACCGAGACACATAGACCCAGGCAGCGTCACACACACACGCGGAGGCTTCCAGAAACGCGGGGACGTGCAGAGCCACACAGACACGGAATAGGAGCAGAACCCGAGACCTGGTGACCTAGAAACTTGCGGACAATTTCACAAGAACAGATAGAAACGGAGCCGTGCGGGCTGGGGACCTGCAGACACGGAGACGCCGGAACCCACCGAGACAGCCTAGAACGGAGACCCCCCTCCTCCCCCAAGTCTCCAGAAGCCCCCCTCTGCCGCCGCCGGCCGCCCCAGGCGCCACCACCCACCCCACCCCCGA